GCATTAACACCTTGCTTCAACATGCCTTTCTTCCTAATCTAGATAAACCCTCCCTGATACAGAGTGTGTGTTAGCATCAGGTGTAAATTGGGTCAGGTAGATTTCAAATGAGTTAACAAGAGCAAATCTGTGTCAGATGTTACGGGGCTTTCCTCTCCCGTTAAATCACCCCGTGTTTCTCTCTCTCTCCCGCTCACATCCGTTTCTCTCTCACATGGCTGCAATTACGCTCGTGTAAACAAACGAGGCCGGAGAGAGACATCGGGAATTCCAGTAGGGCCTTTGGGAGCTGCTTAGCTTACACAGTCAGAGAGGATCAAGGACGCAAGCACAGAGGATCCATAATACCCTCCTACAGTCATTCATTCATCTCACAGCACTTTATGAATGACTGTACCTCAATGGAGCGCCATGCAACAGCGGCCCAGATACACACTTTGTCAATGAGACACACGCTTTGTGTCAACTCACACACTTCCCCTAGAACTCTTTAAATTGACTGTGTGGTGTTGTCTCAAATCTCTCACTGATGCTGTGCTATTACCATAAGTGACAATAGCCGCTGTAAGCTAGCTACCTAACAAGCTAGCTCTTTCTTAATACCGACTTTTTAATCTTTGTCAAATAACTTATTTGTCAAATGCCAATTGACAGTGCAGTTTAGACAATTTTAAAGAGAGCAGTCTGGTTCCAGAGTCTCATACAGTGTGTAAGTCCAAGGGTTAAAAGCATATTAATTAGCTAGCTAGCAACGATATTTCGGAGGGAAATCCTTACAGACTAGTCAATTCACCCAATACAATTAACGTAGGCTTCTTAAGACACCAGTATAGAAGTGAGTAACTTAAACAATGTACAAAAACAACATGTATGACCTGTATAGCGCTGTCTAAACCTATGTAAAAGCAATTGCTAACATTAGCTGTGCTATTACAGGAAAGTCACGATCGCAGCTAATTAGTTAGCGAGCTAGCAACGATTGTTTGTAGTACCAAATCAACACTAGTATACCGGTACGTTAGTTGAATAGTAAAACAAATATATAACTTTGATTTGTGTAGGGCTGGGTTTAACGAAGAAACTACAATCCAGGGTTTAACACTTCAATACTTTCTCAGATCAGGTCTGAAGGGTTTCTTGCATCACAGCATCTCCATTTGAAACAGCAACAAGGACACATATTTAGTAAAGAAACAAAGAAACAAACATTTAAAATACGATATCAGTCGCTGAAGACAATATGTTCAAATCCCTATGTCCGTTACTAGAGCACCATCCGTATACACATTGTACCTTTTTGCCTTACGCACATATGCACTCAAAACAAGCAAATGTAGAAAAATGCCATTTAAGACAACTCACTAACCTGCTCGTGGTACTCGATCCCCATGCTCAGAGTGTTGATCAGGATGGCGATCATAATCCCTCGGCCGAAGTACTTGCTGTCCACGATCTTCCTGAACGTGTCGCACACCAGCCTCCAGAAACGCACCACCTTCCCGGCCGTTCGACACAGCCCGTGCTGCTTCTTTTTGGGCCGCCGGCTGTCCCTTCGGTCCCTGTGGTGGAGGTCCTGGGTGAACTCGTATATTCCCTCACTGTCCGAGTCTCCGTTGCCGCCCTCGGACTCGTTGGCCAGAGCTTTGGCGCAGTAAGGGCAGCTCTCAGGGTCGAAGGTCAGAGCCACTGTGTCCACACCGCTGAGGTCACAAACCGACAGCTGGCCGGAGAGCTGGGCTGCAGCCGAGGGAGAAAAGAAAGGTCAGACAGAGACAAACAGAAGGGAGATACTTTGTGGCACAGTAAACTCTTGAAATTGACTGTGTAGTGTTGTCTCAAATAACACACGGATGCTTTGCTATTCAAAGTGACGATTGCTGCTCTAAGTAGCTTGCTAGCTCATCCTTAATTTGTATTAAAAAAAGTTTGTCAATCACGAACTTAATCCGGACAAATTATGTTCCTTAGAAAATGCATTTGACAGCGCAGTTAACTTTATAAGAAACACAAAAAGGTCAGACAGAGAGAAACAGAAGGGGAATTGCGGCAAAATCCAATACTTTTTTTTGGACAAATTGTCAAATCCAATGGAATTTGACAAGATTGAATATCCCCGCCGATGGGTAAATGATGGAGAGAGAAAAGTCGGGAACATGCATTAACACATGAAGTGAATAAAACATCAGGCAGGACCGATTGTTAACGACTAACCAATGTCTCTGCTAGATTGAATTACCGTGATGTGGTTATTTATCTCGAAATATGTTGAATATGCACGAGTGTGTCAGACAGAAGAGGATGTTTGTAGGTATGGTGTGTTTGAACGTGCCAACATCTTCTCTAGGGTCCTTATAATCTATTTCAGAGCAGCTAAAGAGGCTGAATTGTGCATTAAGATCTGTTGTTTTCTAAAATATCAAGAAAACTAAAAGCTACCCAATCTCCTCACAGTTATGTTTATCTGTTTTAGTAAAATGGTGTGTCCATGAGGCCTAATTACCATGATGCATTTGTGCTACAAGAACATTTCCTGAGCATATTTAATTTGGGTAACAATGCTTTCAAATGTTATCGTTATTCAGAATAAATCTGTCGTGAACATTTCAGGATAGTTGCTTGTGTGTGTGAGTCTTTGATGGGCAGTGTGTGCTGTGAGTAATGTTTCTACAGGGCGGTCGCCAGCATTTCCACCGTCTGCAAGACCTGGCCTGACTTCAGCTGATCCCACTGCCTTTTAGAAGTTGGCCGGCGCAGTAAACTGGCTGCAAGCTTTGACATGAGGGATTAACATCTATCGAGCGTAATTAGCACTTTCCCTGTCTCTCACGGAAAAAACCTCCGACTCTGGACAGTGTTACAGTGAGAGGCTTAATCACAGCTGATCAATACTCCAACAAATGGATGATTGTGGAAGAAGGAACGCTTCCAGTGGCTTGTCACTCGACCTGCTCTAACACTGATATGGATAGGCATTGACTGACTGAATGAGACACTCCTGTTGTTTTAAAGCACGGTTTCCCTTCCAGTTTTCTCTTCTCAATGGGAATACTCAGGAAGCAAACTTTCAACCACAGCAGAAAGAAAAACATTGAGCTAATCAGAAACGTTTAGAGTTTCGAGCAGCAGTAGCTCAGTCTGTAGGGACTTGGCTCGGCAACCGAAGGGTCATCGGTTCAAGTCCCGATAGGATAACGTACAGAGGGCGGACTGGTAGCTGGATCACAGTCTGAAGCTATCAAACCCTCCAACAGACAGTTATTAAACCCTCAAACAAGAGGCTAATAAACACTCAAACAACAAATTTACACAAGAAGATATTAAACCCTCCTTAAACCCTCAAACAGGAAGTTATTAGACCCTCTGACAGGAAGTTATTAAACCCTCCTCAAATCCTCCATAAGGAAGTTATTAAACAAGAAGCTATTAAACCCTGATCAAACTCCCCAACAAGAAGTTATCAAACATTCCTTAAGCCCTCCATCAGGAAGTTGTTAAACCTTACTTAGTGTTTGTGTCCGTCAAGAAACCTGCTGTGCATAATATTCTGTGTGTGTGCTGTGTTTGTTCTACCTGAGGGTGTGTGTGTGTGTGTGTGTGTGTGTGTGTGTGTGTGTGTGTGTGTGTGTGTGTTGGTTCTACCTGTGGGAGTGTGTGTGTGTGTGTGTGTGCTGTGTTGGTTCTACCTGTGGGAGTGTGTGTGTGTGTGTGTGTGTGTGTGTGTGTGTGTGTGTGTGTGTGTGTGTGTGTGTGTGTGTGTGTGTGTGTGTGTGTGTGTGTTGGTTCTACCTGTGGGTGTGTGTGTGTGTGTGCTGTTTTGGTTCTACCTGTGGGAGTGTGTGTGTGTGTGTGCTGTGTTGGTTCTACCTGTGGGAGTGTGTGTGTGTGTGTGTGTGTGTGTGTGTGTGTGTGTGTGTGTGTGTGTGTGTGTGTGTGTGTGTGTGTGTGTGTGTGTGCGTGCGTGCGTGTGTGCTGGGTTGGTTCTACCTGTGGGAGTGTGTGTGTGTGTGTGTTCTACCTGTAGGAGTGTGTGTGTGTGTGTGTGTGTGTGTGTGTGTGTGTGTGTGTGTGTGTGTGTGTGTGTGTGTGTGTGTGTGTGTGTGTGTTCTACCTGTGGGAGTGTGTGTGTCCACCAGGCTTGACGGGCGTCTCTCCTGCGGGGCAGGTGGGATATTGAGGTTGAAGCTGATGTTGGTCAGAGTGCCGGCGGCAGCACTCGCTCGTCTCGACTCAGCGAGCGCTCGGGCCTGAAGGGTCGGGTAGTTCTTCGGCGCCGGACCCGCGAAAGGTACCGAGTTCCTCTTCATGGATTTGGACATTGGAGCGGGGGCGATTGGGAAGGAATGAGATGTTGGGGAAGGGGTACAACGAAGAGTTTCTGCGTGGAAAACACTGATAACTGAAGATAAATCGGGCGAAGTGGCCAGGTTGGTATCAGACGTGGCTGTAGTTACTGATGGTGGCAAAGCAAGATGTCCGGCAGTTACAACAAGCGTGCCTCCATTGTTGTTATGAGCCTCCGCATCTCTACCCTCCACACACCGGACGCCCCTCATGCTTCCATTCCCTAAATGGTGGTGGTGGTGGTGGTGGTGGTGTAGGTGGTGCTGATTGGACGCCGTGTGATGAACGCTAACCGATCCTTGCCTGGAGGGTTTTCTTCTACTTCTCTTGCTGCGTTGGGACTCTGTTTCCTGGGGCGAGGCGGCGATGTTAACCCCGGCACGTCGAGCGAGGTGACGGACGATATGAGCCGTTTGTCTCGCTCCCTTTCGGATCATGTGCACCAGGTAGTTGAGCAGCTCCTCGTAGCAGGACCCCGGTTCCTGTAGAGAGCCGAGGGTGCTGGCATTGGACAGGAAGCGAATTCGCTGCTCCTTCATCAGCTGACTCTCACGCTGCTTGGTCTCCGAAAACTGAGTGGCGATGACCACGAGGCACAGGTTGATCATGAAGAACGAGCCGATCTGAGGACGGGAGATTAGTTAGTGCTAGTACTCTACAAACTGTAACGAAGACATAGTTAGTGTCCTCCACACACTGTAACACAGATATAGTTAGTGTCCTCTACACACTGTAACACAGATATAGTTAGTGTCCTCTACACACTGTAACACAGATATAGTTAGTGTCCTCTACACACTGTAACAAAGACATAGTTAGTGTCCTCTACACACTGTAACACAGACATAGTTAGTGTCCTCTACACACTGTAACAAAGACATAGTTAGTGTCCTCTACACACTGTAACAAAGACATAGTTAGTGTCCTCTACACACTGTAACACAGACATAGTTAGTGTCCTCTACACACTGTAACAAAGACATAGTTAGTGTCCTCTACACACTGTAACACAGACATAGTTAGTGTCCTCTACACACTGTAACACAGACATAGTTAGTGTCCTCTACACACTGTAAACTTGTTCGATCATCAGCACACAAACAGCTGGAGGCACTTACGATGATGAGGAGGATGAAGTAGATGAAGTTGTAGAAGGAGTGAGCGTCCATCACGAAGTACATGATGTCCACCCAGCCCTCCAGAGTGATCACCTGAAGAAGGGGGGGATAAAGAAAAGAGAAAACTATTTTTAGAATCTCTTTTATCAATTGGTATATTTGTTATTATATTACATATTATTATAATTATTTTTACGTTATTTTTGTATTTATTACACTTTAATATTGTAATATTTTTTTTATCGCCCATTCTTAATTTAATGTCTTATGTTTATATAAATGTTTGGGTTTTATTCATTCGAAAATGTAGTAACTGTAGCCAACATTTATTCTATTTTATTTCCTCTTGATTATTTTACTTGAACTTCTTATATTTACATAAATATTGAATTTTATCTTTTGATTGCACATTTTTACTTGAACTCCTATTGTTAATAAAACAATTTAAATATTTTTGTTGTATTTGACCTCTCTTTATTGCAAATGTTTCTATAATTGATTTAGTTTATTTCATTCTTAAATAGAGGAACTGCCCTAACCCAATTCATCCTGGAATAAATAAATGAACTATTCGGAATTATTAAACAGAAAGTGCAGGTATTTCAAAATAGTACTTGAGTACAATTCTAGAGTAAATTAAAAATCTCCCCTTTTCTCACAAACTGATTCCCTTTTTGTCCCACTTGTCCCACTTGTCCCACTTGTCCCACGTGTCCCATCTTCTCACCTGGAAGATGGCGATCCAGGCGTAGCAGATGTTGTCGAAGTTGATGGCTCCCTTGAAGGGGTTGATGGAGCCGGCGGAGCAGTTGGTGTAGTACTGGTTCCAGTTCACGCAGGTGGTGTTGTCCGTGCTGTTGTGGGACAGCATGTCCAGGTTGCACTGCAGCCCCCCCTCCTCGTACAGTTTGGGCACCGAGCCGCAGTCCCTCATGCCGTTCTCCCGCGGCATCGAGCAGATAAACGGGTTCTCGTCGTCGTTCTCCGTGTGGTAATATTTCTCCAGCTCCACAGCCACAGGGCTTCAGGGAAGAAGAAGAAGAGAGGGTACTCAGGGTGAAGCAGATTTACACCCCCCTCCAGAGCAGAAGTCGACACAATTCAGTTAAAATCATGGATCATTTTGAGGTAAATCTGTATTACTTAATGTTCTCTTTGCTTTCAAAAGTTACAATTTATATCCTATTTGAACACCATTAAAGTTAGACTATAAAAAACTTGTATTAAAGAACATTTATGTGTCCACAAGTGTCAAATAATACATAACGGCACATAGCAGCATATCTTTAAGTGAGCTGAGCACAACAACGTTAAAATATGAAAAAATAAAGAAAATGCTTTCTGTTGCGAGAAGTGTGTTAATGCTTTGATAAAACAAATATATAAAGTTTACGTTTCTAAGGAAGAGAAAATCTTTTTGGTATTGAATTAAACTTTGTGTAAATAAGAAGAAAAAGAATATGTTATTTTTTGGAAGTAAATCTGTTCGATCATATTTTCACATTTTAAAGCCATTGAATTTACAGCACCGAGTAATCACATTGAAATTACGTATACCAATGTTCAACAACTCATTAATAATTTTGTTTTCCAATGTTCACAACTTCAAGAATCAAAAACCCTCACATTTAAAAAATCACAATGTGTTTTCAAGGAGCTCTAATGTGATTGGCCAAAACCAGTTGCAAAAATACGATATATCAAATTCAGATCAAACATCTGGGATCCTGAGGAAAAGCAATCGATTCTAGATCAAGTCAAACCAACATCATTGTGTCTCTCTGTAGTCATTGTGTCTCTATGTAGTCATTGTGTCTCTATGTAGTCATTGTGTCTCTCTGTAGTCATTGTGTCTCTATGTAGTCAATGTGTCTCTATGTAGTCATTGTGTCTCTATGTAGTCATTGTGTCTCTATGTAGTCATTGTGTCTCTATGTAGTCATTGTGTCTCTATGTAGTCATTGTGTCTCTATGTAGTCATTGTGTCTCTGTAGTCATTGTGTCTCTATGTAGTCATTGTGTCTCTATGTAGTCATTGTGTCTCTATGTAGTCATTGTGTCTCTCTGTAGTCATTGTGTCTCTCTGTAGTCATTGTGTCTCTCTGTAGTCATTGTGTCTCTCTGTAGTCATTGTGTCTCTATGTAGTCATTGTGTCTCTATGTAGTCATTGTCTCTATGTAGTCATTGTGTCTCTATGTAGTCATTGTGTCTCTATGTAGTCATTGTGTCTCTCTGTAGTCATTGTGTCTCTATGTAGTCATTGTGTCTCTATGTAGTCATTGTGTCTCTATGTAGTCATTGTGTCTCTGTAGTCATTGTGTCTCTCTGTAGTCATTGTGTCTCTCTGTAGTCATTGTGTCTCTCTGTAGTCATTGTGTCTATGTAGTCATTGTGTCTCTATGTAGTCATTGTGTCTCTATGTAGTCATTTTGTCTCTCTGTAGTCATTGTGTCTCTATGTAGTCATTGTGTCTCTCTGTAGTCATTGTGTCTCTATGTAGTCATTGTGTCTCTATGTAGTCATTGTGTCTCTGTAGTCATTGTGTCTCTCTGTAGTCATTGTGTCTCTATGTAGTCATTGTGTCTCTCTGTAGTCATTGTGTCTCTATGTAGTCATTGTGTCTCTATGTAG